AAAAAAAAAATATGGAATTCTTGGGTAGTGTAAACAGTTGATGAGCATGACTGGTAGCCAAAAGGTTCTAAGTTTGAATCTGATCAGTGCCTTGGACAAAAGACCTGGTGATCTGCTTCTGAAAAATCAGTCATTGAAAATCCTATGTATGGCTCAAAGTTCTGCCCTGACACACTTGGGCCCCCATAAGTGACAGTTGACACATCATCACTTGAATATTTAAAAAAATAAGCTTCAAGATACTCAGCACAGACAGGACAGAATACAAGTATCAAGCAGCAGCCTTCTCAAAGTCTTTTATGTGAGTTATCACTATTAACAGTACTTAAGGTTTTGTTTCTCTTAGAATTTTCCGATTCAAATTTTGTCCAGAAGTGATGTTCCAACTGTTGTAATTTTTGTGAATAGTAGCAATATTATCAGATTTTATCCCCTGGCCATTTGTGATCTTTTCCTAAAACTTTGTCACCTGAGATGGTGTAGGGTGAAGAAGTGGTGTGTCAGAAGCATAAGCTGAAGTTGTTTCATGTATGTTGATCTGTCTTTCTTGAATTTAACCAGTAGTAAGTTATCTGTGCTCATTATTCAGGTCTGTCGGGCTGAGTAGGATGTGTACAATAATTTTCAGTATGAAAGAAAATCAAGAGTTATGGCTATATATTGTTTATAATAACAAACATCTATATAGGGCTTCAGGTTCAGTTTTTTATAGTCTCTTTAAAGTCTTTATGTATATTTGATAAAGAATATGTTTGTCTTAATTTAACAACTAAAAAAATTGAGACTTGAGTCATTGATTTGCTCAAAGTCATTTGGATGGTAAAGTGCAGAATTTTATTCTTCTTATTTAACCCTCATCTACTTTATTTTCTGTTTTATCTTTTTAAAGTGAAAAATAAGCCCTAGTCGGGAGAGGTTATCGCAACTAAAGTGAGTGGTTGTGTATCTGTCATATTGGCCAGTTCTTGAAATACTCATAACAGTGCCACATTTATCTCAGTTACTGTATGGGCATGTTTGAATGAACTTTTAAATGTAGATCACCTTATGAAGAAATGCCTAGCTGAACATCTCCATTTTCTCACTTATGTTTTTTTCCCAGCATGTTACTAAAGAATTAACAGTAGGGATCTCTGGTGGCCTAGTGGTTAGAAGCTGTGTTAATACCCCAAAGGCACGTTACTCAAATCTACCAATGATCCATGGGTGAAGAATGGGAAGTCCCTACCCTTGTAATTAACTGCCTCTGAAAACCATCTGGAGGGTCAGCTGACTCAGTGACATACAACAGCATACATGTGTTTGGTCTCTCTTTACTTGGAAAAAGAGAATGAAGGAGTCAAGAATAGGGTTAATAAGTGGAGTGTGTGACTAATTGCCTCCATGAACAACTAAGTGCCTCTTTTTTCTGTTACAAGAAGAATGGGGTGGTGCCTGCCAGCCATTACTGAATGTTTTAATAAATCCTGTGGAACAATGTGGACCAAAATGTGAGGGGTGGAAGAAAGTTGAAAATGCAGGACAAAATTTCAAATTGTCAAATCCCTTCTTTCTGAACCATGGAGTCTGATTAAATTTTAAAACTATTGTCCAGGATATTCTTTAAACTCTAAATGAAACTGTCACCTAACTCTTCTTTAAACCTAACAGTAAAAGTAAGACAAGAAAAATTCACTGCCATCAAGTGACTCCTGCTCCTAGCACATTATAAAACTGCCCCATACAGTTTATAAAGAATGTCTGCCTTAAGAAGACATTAAGATCTGCTTTTGAGATCAAATTGACAGTGGTGGTGTTATGTACCATTGAATCATAACCAACTCTTAGCTGAGCCTCCAGGTTTTCAGAGACTATAAATTGTAGAGAAGAGAATGCCCCCTTCTCCCATGGAGTAGCTGGTGAATTAGGACCGTGTGCCTTAGGGTTGGCAGGGTGACTCCTTACCAGTAAGCCGCAAGAGTTCCCCCTAAATTGAAAATAGCAGCTTGAAAGATTAGATAGGACATTTAGGTGGTAGTGAGTGTTTTGTTAATAAGAAAACAGCAGTTCAGAAAAAGAGGCCAAGAATGATTACACAACTCAGGAGGTAATTAATGACAGTGAATTGTACATGTAGAAATTGTTTAATTGGTACATGTGCTTCAACAAGAACAAAAATAAATTATGTGCTATAAGAACAGGAGAAAAAAAAATTATTTCTCCCTAAAGAGTAAGGAAACCAGTATACAAAGGGATACCAATTTTTTTCATGCTTCAAAGTGCAAATTATGAAATTGGGATTTAGTGAGAAAAAATTAGTCTCCACCAATGATTGATGGCATGTAATGGCTGTGGTTCTTATTGTTCTTCCATTAGAAACCTTTCAAAGGCCAGCCCAGTCTACTTGTAGGGCTACGTCTCTTGCCATATGGGAAAGCCTCGTAGTCTTTGGACTAAGCATGCTTGTAGCATGCACACTCTTCTCTACTTCTTTCAAATACAACTGATGTTTTAAAGTCCTTTTTAGATTATTCCCCCCACCCCACTACTTTGTTTTCACTGTTAGAACTTGTTTGGAAGCCTGACTTGAGTTTCTTTTCTGTCTGTTGATAAACCTCAGCCTCCTAGTTAGATTGCAGATCCTTTAAAGGCTATGATTGTATGTTTATCTTGGAATTCCTAGTACTTGGCCTGGTGCCTTGACTAATAGATGTTCAATGACTGTTGAGTTGTATTTGTGTTTGTTTTAGGCTCTTTGCGGGGACTCAGTTTGAGCCCTTGGGATTAAGAACTGTTTTTCCGTGTTTTGATGAACCAGCATTTAAAGCCACATTTCTCATCCGGATCATAAGGAATAAGGAGCACTCTGCTATATCAAATATGCCTAAGGTACAGTTCTGTTGCTTAAAATGTAAAGTCATAAGTGGACCTGTCTTTATTAAGAACCTTGAATTAATCTTTTCCAAACCAGTGGTGAAAATTATTAAAACTATATGTATTTTTGTTCTTACATAAGTTAAGATGTGTTGGAAACACTAGAAGCCAGTCTCAGGAACCCCTGAGGAAAGAAAAGGACCCCGATGGACTTAGAATGGAGGAAATGCAAAGTGTGAATTATGAACTAAAGTATAAATGCTTAACAGTATGCACCACAGCACCAGAGATCAGAGTGTTTTATAGCTCGTGGTTAATTTATTCTTATAAGTCATGATATTTGATTATATTAAAAGATGATTTTTGTTTGTGTTTCTTGCTAAGTGGAAAAAAAACCTATATTGTAATTTGAAGACTGGCTACAAGAACAAGAATCTTTTTCTTGAAAATTCCTTTATATAGGAGGCAGTGGGTGAAATAATGCAACCAAGGATATTGTTTTTATGCTAAATGATCCTAAGGGTGTTGTCTCATCACTTGAAGGGCCGTGTGCAGCCTAATTGGAGCCTCTTGGACCCATGTGGTTAGGAGGGAAGAACAGCAACCCCTGACAGGCTATGATGTTAGCCCCTGTAGTCAAGAGAGTACCTGACCTGTTCTTAAATATGTCACTCACAGAGTGCCACTCCCAGCCATACTTTTCACCCTAGTCTTTCTCTAGGGGTGGATGCCTACTTGGCTACTCTCCCAAAACACAGAATCCAGAGTTAGAAATACTGCAATATTGCCTATATTCCATTGCCTTGTACCTGTCACATCTTTCTCTGATGACTTACTTCCTTTGATTTTACTGAACCGTATCACAGTCTTCAATGTAACACACTTGAAAACTCGCTGCACATCATTTGAAGGGATAAAACATTTTGGCACCTCAGTTACCACACCTTATTCTGTGAATGTAATATAAAATCATAGAGTAGAATATTCCTAGGTCATCAATAAGCATTTGCATTTTGGTCAGATTTTAAAAGGAGGAAGTAGAAGCATTGCTACTTCCTATCTTTAACTTAGATATACTTAATTCTGTCTCTTATATTCAGTATGTCCTCATGATGGATGGTAGGATAGCGTATGATTAAAGCCATGCTCTTAGAAACCCAGTGATTAATATGCCAGCATCCTTACAGCCTATTTCTTATTTGATACTTTCATTTTGTGGTTCATTTGTCATTGTCATAATTTCCATAGTTACAGAACTGTCATCTCCCCTTTTTGCTTATAGAAATCATCCGTCGTTCTGGAGAATGGACTCGTTCAGGATGAGTTTTATGAGAGTGTGAAGATGAGCACGTATCTGGTTGCTTTCGTTGTGGGCGAGATAAAGAACCTGAGTCAGGAGGTTAATGGAACCCTGGTATGTGATTGTGGTAATTGTCTGAAAGCCTATTCCACGAGTAAGAGGTAAAGAGGAAGTCTTGCTTTAGTGATTGCAGGTGGATGCCTTGCAATGGTTCTTTCTTGCATCATGGCTCACATCTTATACTAGAAATGCTTCTTTTACTTAGCCGTTATTTACCATTATTAATTTAGTGTCAGAAGACATAGATGTCAAGTTACTCATGATTTTACATTTATAACAGTTACAGGAAGACAGTATATATCAGTCAGCGCAGAAGATGCTATATCGTACAAGGTAATACAAAATAATTATAAGAACAACTCTTTAAACAGGAACTCTAGTTTGTAAAATTTAAGTGAATCCTTTTTGGGGAAAAAGTCCAATTGCATTTTCTCATTTTAAATTAGTAAGTAAGGTTGTTAATTTAAAGGTTTTGTTTATATATTTTTTTATATTTATAATTTGTTCTGTCAAGCTTGTTTTATTTTTTCCCATCAGTACCTATCCATAAATGATTATTTGCTTGTATTTTAAATGCTTTCATTTCACTAGACAAGCTAATATTTTCACATATAATGTTAAAAGTGAAGAGAGATTTCTTTAAGCTGAAAAATATTATTTTTCATGATAGAAAAGTCAGTGGAATTCTTTAAATTTTGTTTTCATATTTTTGAATCCTGCCAGTAACTATAAAGAGTCCTGGAACATCTTGAGTTGGATTGCTAACCTCAAAGTCATCAGTTCAAATTCATCACCTGCTCAGAGGGAGAAGATAGGAAGTCTTCTCCTGTATAGATTTATGTCTTTGGAACTTGATAGTGTTTTCACAGGTTGTAATAGATGACAGTGGGATTGCCAGGGAATATTGATGACCTTTTGAATATTATATAGCTGGTTTTGTGTTTCCTTTATAAACCAGACCCTCACTTGTTAACTTAGTTCCAACTGAAGAGGTCCTCCCTCAAGTTTCAAAACTGTAAATCTCTACAAAAAGTTGTCAGGTTGCAAAACTGTAAATCTTTATAGGAAGTTGTGATGTGCTGTCGAGTCAACAGCATTTCCGCCCCCCCCCCCCAATTGAAGTATTTGGGGGATTCCAGCCACTGAGTTTTCTTTTTATAAGTCAGTGTTTTACACATCACACCACCGGAACTTTTATGGATTAAGATGTTTCTTTTATTCGCAGTATAATTGAATTTTACCATTAACTGTTTAGCCAGAGGATTAGAAGAGGTTCATATTGGTTCTTATTCCCAAGAAAAGTGATCCAACAAAGTGTGAAAACTATCGAACACTATCATTAATATCACATGCAAGCAAAATACTGAAGATCATTCAGAAATGCCTAGAACAGTACATACATCGGGAACTGCAAGAAGTTCAAGCAGAATTTAGAAGAGGCCATAACACCAAGGGATGTCATTGCTGACATATATTTCTGTACCTTGTTAACATATTTCTGGTGAGGAAACAAAAAATCAGAGAGGTTACATAATTTCCTCAAGATTAGACAGCCAGTAAATGATAGTCAGAATTCTGATACCCACCACAACACTTTGCATCTTACACCAAGTGGCATAAATAAATAACTTCTGTAAGTGGTGCTGGAGAAAAGTCTTGAACATAACATAACTGCCAAGAGATCAAATAGGTCCATCTTGGAAAGGGTGAATTCCAAGTTTCTCCTTGGAAACTAGGATTTTGAAGGTCCATCTCACATACTTTGGGCACGTGGCTAGGAGAGACCAGTCTCAGAAGGTTGGATGGACAGCATAGGAGAGGAAGACCCTGAATGAAATGGAATGATACAGTACTTGGGGCAGTGGGGGTTGGTATATAGGAATTAATGAGACTGGGTCAGGACAGGGCAGGCTTCAGAGCTGTTGTACATAGGGTTGTTCTGGATCACAGGCAACTCGAGGGCACATAACAACAACAACTATAAACCACCCATTGTACACATTGCTCTTGAATAATTTTCCAATGTTACAGGTCCTAGAGGACAGAATAGAACAGTGCCATAGGATTTCCATGGCTCTAATTGTTATGGAAGCAGACCATCTTGTCTTTCTTTCATGGAGCAGCTGGTCTGTTGGGACTGCCAGTCTTTTAGTTACAACTTAGTGCTTAACTATTTCACCACCAGTGACGAGAAAGTTAAGGTCTTAACAAAGGGTTTTTACTGTATTAAAATGTTATCATCTCACAGTATTATTTATTGCTTTCTTTCAATAAAATACTGGAGCATTTTCACTGCCAAAAAAAATGTTATCATCAAAGAATCTTTAGATGAATTGTGGCTTTAGAGAAATAAATTGGGTATCACACAGAGAAAAAAATTATGTTAAGGAATTAACTCAGTGATTATGGAGACAGTCAAGTCCAGAATCTGTATATCAGGCAACAGGCTGTAAAGTCCCTCAGGCTTATGTCCTATATATGTGAGTCAGAAGATGGAAAGAGTGCAGGAGTTGAGAGGAAATTCTGCCAAACTGTCTAACATACCCTAAGATAACTCCCTTTTCAGTTATTGATCATATTAGTTACAATATGGAATATAATTCTGATAATAATATGGAATAACTCCATGATTAATATTTGACCTAATCACCTTATATTTAGTAATAGTTGACTTTGTTGTTGTTATATACCATACATAACTTTCCCTCCAGTGGGTTTTCGGAGGCAGTAAATCGCACAGTAGGAGATGGCCCATCTTTTTCCCGTTGAGCATCTGGTGGATTCAAACTACATGCTTTTGGGATGGCAGTGCTGCTGCTTACCAGTAGGCCACCCAGGCTCCCTCTCTGATATTGTTGTCATTATTATTGGGATGGATCCAGCTCATAGCTAGCCCTCCAGCAGGTTTTACAGTCATTTCAATTACATGGAAGGAGATTGCTCATCTCTCCTGCAGAACAGCTGGTGGATTTGAACCATGTGCCTTTTGATTGGTATCTCAACTCCTTACTTCTAGGACACCAGAACACCCTATTTGACGTTGTTGTGCACTGCTGAGTTTGAACTGACTCCTAGCTTACCCTCCAGCAGGTTTTTGGAGGCAGTAAATCACATGGGAGGAAATTGTCCATCCTTCTGCAGAGCAGGTGGTAGATTCGAACTGTATGCCTTTGGGATTGCAGCACAGCTTCTTACCAGTAGGCCACCAGAGTTCCCTATTTGACATTAGTGCTATTTAATACTTTTCAGGAAGAAAACACTAGAACTTTCTTCACTAATACCTGTCTTAACTAAGCAACTGAAAATGTCAGAGTTGACTATGGGGTTATTAAATATGCCCTGTGCAATGATAAAGTTAGCAGTGTTGCCAAGAAACTGAAGAAAAAGAAACATTTCTGTTAATTCTTAAGGGTTTTTCAAAGCTCTCTCTCCCTTTTAGTAAATGCCAGCATTACCTAGAAAATTCTAGGTCAGTTCTGAAATGCACTACTTTATCTGATTGCCCTGAGGTGTTTTTGGTTTTGCTAGTGCCTGCTTTTGTTTTAATCCTAGACAAATCTAATTGGTAAACTAGAATCTGATTCCAGTCGTGGTTAGTTAGATGTGGACAGTCTCTCAATTTACAAATAGAACCTCAAAAGTTTTATATATGTGATCTTACAATTTTGATATATACCTATTCAGTCAGGAGTGTGACTTTGTTCCAGATTTCCACTACAAACAGTTCTACCCCAAAAAGCTGCATTAGCCTTGTTTGTATATTATGATCATTTATATCATTTTCCTGAAGTCCCATGTAATTATATATTCTGGATAGACTTGCTAGAGATTTTTTTAAATTAGGAATTTATTCTTGTTTGTGTTCCAGCTGTCTATTTAGGATGCCTGGTGTTTATTGAGAAACTGTCGGAAGTTTCCAATATTTTCTACCTTTATGTATCTTGCATTCAGTGACTGGGGTAATCGGGATGGGTGTGTCAGAGGCAGTGCAATTGGCACAGAATAGAGCAGAGTTTAGGGCTATTGTACATAGGATTGCTATGAGTCGCAAGCGACTCGACGGCACATATGTATCTTGCAGGCCAAATTATAGTCCTCTTTAGGGAATAGATTTTGTTCTGGTATTGCTGTCTAGTTTCTGTTTTTATTGGATTAAGGAACAGATCAATTATGGTTTCTTTCCTTCAATCTAAAGAGCTTTTTTCTCTGAAAACTGACTCTAAGATTATATAGGTAAGCCCTTTAGAAAATGTCTGTAAAGTATTATTAACAAGAGATTTGGCAATAAAATTTTAATGTTTTAAATCTTAATGCCTGGGTACCAGTTGACTTCAACTTGACAGTGTTTAGACTACTGTCAAGCCAAAATCATGGTGAAGATTTTTTTTTTTTTTTGCTATACTAGATTGTATTCTTTCCCCCTCTTACTGTTCTTAGAAAATGCGGTAATTACAATAACCAAATTATTTTCTTTAATGATAACTCATAGCAGTCAAACATTCCGTAGCATACATTCTTTTAAAGAAAAGGAAAATAATTAGACCATACAAAAAAAACTTACCCTTTTATTTTTGCTAATCATTATATTCCAGAAATGGGACAAAGTAGGTCCTATGGTTAGATTTCTGTTTCATGTAAACTTTTTTCCATTTGAGGCTAAAACTGACCTCTCTGGCAGAAATATGCAGGAAGTACACCTGTCAGATGAGCTTATAGTTCCCATGGCAAGTGGTGACTGGATTCTAATAAGTTGTGCCACAGGCTACAGATGGTGGAGGGCTGGGTACACTTGACCACATTACTTAAGAGATGAAATAGAAGGCAGCATGATTTTGATTGGTTAATTCCAAACCTAAACGCTTAATTCTTATAGTAACTAGTACCCTAATGCTTTCCTCATACATATTTTTCTCTGCTTCCCATGGAATTCTGTTTGGCATATAATTACTCAAATTTATTGAGCACTTGTGTCAATTATTATTCTATGTTTGGTGCTTGTAGTAGCTCATTTAGTCCTCACAGCACCCATGAAGGTCACTCACTCATTCATCACAGTGGAGTGTGAACAGACTCAGTTCACCTGAGAGGATATTGCCCATCTTTGTCCCATGGAGCAGCTGGTTAATTCAAACGATCTGCCTTCAAGTTGGCAGGGCAACTCCTTGCTCACTAGGCCATCACTGTTTTACAGATAAGGAAACTAAGGTTCACTGATTTGTTCACAGTCATACCACAAGCAGAGATTTAAATACTGGCACTAGAATACAAAGCAAGTACTCAATTTTTTTTATTTAACCATAAATTTTTATTGCAGGTTACCTTTGTGTTTCTGTGATTAATGCATACTATAGACAGAAGTTCCATAGAAAAATAATTATGCTTGAAATATATGACCTTTTAGAACTTGTCAGTTTATAATACTTCATGGAGACTAAAATTAATCTTGGGCTAGAATTCATTTTTGCATATACATACATGTGTTTTGTACACATGGTGAATTATTCTATTAGACTCTCTTTCTCACCTATTGAGAACTTCATTTTGAAGTATTTCATTTCTGAGGTATTTTCTTTCAGAATTTTTATTCTGCTTTCCCAGATAGTGTAAAGGACTTTAAAGAGTAAATATTCCTCTTTTAACAGTCATCACTTTGACTGATTTCTTAAACTTTGCCTTTTAGTGCTTAGTGAAGATATGTTAGATGTTACCTTTTGAATTTAATTCCATTATGAGATGTGAGACCTCTTACCAGGTACCTGCAAGATGCCATGTACTCTGATAAGTAATAGAATGATAAAAATTTAGTCTTATTAAAAAATATTAGTCTTATCCTTTGGATTACTCAGTCTTGATAACTTATAGGCAAGAAAGAATATCATGTAATTGGGCAGATTTTGAAAAATTTCTGTAAAGTTATTAAAAGTAGTGGGATGTTAGCTTTAAAAATAAAAGTAAAAAAATTTAAAAAACAAAACAGAAAAAAATTCAAAAGTAAAGATCCTTGTTGTATGAAAGAGACTTGGTAAACCCTGTGGGGAATAGAAGAACTATAAGCAAGAAAAATAGAACTCTGCCACCTTTTTTAGATATGCCTGTCTTAACAGTGTTCATGAGAATACAGTACTATTTTAATTATATCGCTCTTTGCATCATGTTTCCTTTTAGGTTTCTATATATGGTATACCAGAAAGGATTGATCAGTTTCACCATGCCCTGGGGGTAGCTGTGAAAGTTTTTGAGTTTTTTCAAAACTACTTTGAAGTTCCATACTCAATTAATAAATTAGGTAAGAAACAGTGTTTATGGTTTTCATTATGATTGTAATCCAGAATCCTTTTGCAAAGATATTTTAGGAAGATTTTTTGCAAAGTCACTTAAAAAGAGAAGCAATATATATTATTAATGCTTTAAAAATTGCCTCTAGTTCTTAAGCTTATTTAGAAAGCATGAACGTGCTTGAATTGGGAGCTTAACATACTTAGAAGCTTTTGGGGCAGTTACAAAGTTGGTATGTAAATGGGCATTTACTTAGGGCTTAGTCTGAAATTTTACTAATTCTAATTTTTCTTTTTTTTCTTAATAATTTTAATGAGAGATTTTGGATTTACATTCATTCATTGCTGCACTTCTCTCCCCGCCCAGCCCTCTGTCATCGCCCCCCCCCCAGTTCCCTCCTCTCTTTCAAAAGTAAAAGAACTCGAATAATAACAGTTGAACTCACAGAGCAGGGGGATGTTCAGGAAAAGAGGTTTTAATAATATTTGATGCAGAGCTTGTCAGCCCAGGGATTTTTTTTCTTGTCTTTTCAGGAATTTGATTCATTGTGAAAGAAATAGATATCTTTCTTTGCTAATAAATAATCTAAAATATCGTATTCAGATTGTTGTCGGCTGATGGGTGGGTAGGATGCATTAAAGGACAGACTGAAGAATATTGCACTTGTTAAGATTAGAAAAAGAAATAATTGTGTGCTGATCCACGGTAATACAACCCAAGAGTAAAATATTTTTACTTACTAATCACTTGTACATGGCAGGTTTATCATTTCTTTTCTATTATCTACAGATTTGGCGGCTATTCCTACCATTTATGCAGGAGCAATGGAAAATTGGGGTTTGATCACCTTTCAAGAACAGACACTTCTGCACGGCACTCCGTCTTTTTCAGTGACGGAAATAAGATTGCTTCGTAAAATCATGGCTCATGAGATAGCCCATCAGGTATCAGCAGTCAAGGCTGTTATATCGAGTTCTCTGCTTTATGGCTAACAATTTCAGAATAGAGTCAGATGCTAATACTAATTTAGTCTTTTAATATACACTTGACTTCTTTTATAATATACTTTTAAAAACTAAATTTTTAAATGAAAATGCTAAAATGCTTGTGTAGAAATGAATAAATATTTTTACAACTATTTTCACAAGTACTCGAAGGTAGGTAATAATTTCATTTTATGGATATGGAAATTGACACCTAGTTTAAATTAATGACTTGCCAAGAGTCATACAGTTAGTAACTGATAGCAATAGGCCTTAAAGAATCATAGTGTCTTCAAGATCTGTCTTTCTTTCCATCACTGAATCATAGCCCCTTCACTTTGGTCAAGTGGCAACTGCTCAATATGATACTGTTAGAAAGAATATTTTTCTGAGTTGCATCTTTTCTGACACTTTTTGAACTGTAATACTCAGGATTGAATTCCCCCCCCACCACCACCACCACCCGAACTAGGTTCTTTATTATTATTAGAAGAAACAAGTCTTAAAAGAGTGAGGGTATTTGCATGATATAGATAAAGGATTTATGTAAGCATATGAACACCCTTCAACCTAATACCTTACCTCTTTTATGCCCTTGGAAAGGTAGCTGTCAGGGTTGGATATGGTTTGAGGAATGCTGTTATGGTGGGAGGATATGAAGGAGTCAGTTTACTCCCAACTCCAATAAAACCTATAGGACTCTAGTCCTGTGAACATGTCATGACAAACTAGCATCTGGAGCACATACTTAAAGTGTTAAAATTGGGCCATGTAGATTGAGACTATCTTCTAGGTTTGTTTTTTCTGAGACCAGCATCACCTCTTGGGAAATTTCTGTTGTACTTCTTTGGAACTGACATGTCCTGTTTCTCTGAAGCAGATATTAAGATAATATCTTAAAAACTGTGCTATTAAAATTCTCGAAATTGTTGTTTTGGTACCCAGTAACCTTTGCCTTTTACTGCTGCTTTAAGGCAACCCTTAGGCCATACTGAGTAAATTACAAACCTTGTGACCATTGTGTTTCAAGAATTTTTCTAAGACAGTTTTTCAGGAGAATGTTCTATCATTTTTTGGGTACAACTTCATATCAGAAGACATTTAAAGATCTTTCCAGTTACATTTTAAAATTATATATTGTTATGTACCTTTCTTATGATGTTTGAATTTTGTTTTGAATCTTGTAAATACTGCCCTCAATTTGGACTGCTGAGGAGAAACATGACAATTTGGACTGTCTGGCTAGAAGAAAATCTCACGTAGAAATTTGTTTTTCTAGCTGTCACAGATAATTGTACATAAAGAGGAAAAATCAATTATAATTAGTTATTTGAATAGAGAAAAATTTTATTAACTAGGAAATACTTCTTTGAATGAGGTACCTAAAAATATTTTGTTATGTGATATTAAGCACAGTACATACCAGTAGCTGTCTTTCTCATTTAATTCAAGTAAAACATTTAAGATTTTTATTTTAAATTTTTCTACATTTTATAAGTCTTAAATTCATTCCATTATAGGAAAACTGGTGAGCGTGTGATTATTATGTTGTTGAGTAGTTTGTTTCTTTCCACAGTGGCTTGGTAATTTGGTAACCATGCAGTGGTGGAACGATCTATGGCTGAATGAAGGTTTTGCCACCTTCATGGAATATTTCTCTTTGGAAAAAATAGCCGATGAGCTCTCAGTTGTAAGTATGGTATCCTTAAGGCCTACTGTGAATGCTAGGGTAGAAATAGCTTGATTTTTGCCATGTTTATATGAATATATGTTCAAGTTGAAAAATGTCTTTAGTGCAATAAAATTGATTGTTACTAATATCAGTACTTTTTTAGTTTTTTTTTTTCTTTTATTGGTTTGCTTACAAAGTTGGTATACATTGTGTTTCACACTGTTCTTCATATTATGTTTGATACAATCATTCTCAGGCATTATATTTTAGTTTTGTACCTGTTTGTTGTAAGTAGAGTGGATGGGCCTGCCTGTGGCCAAAACCCTGGCCTGGCTCTCGCCTCTCCTCACAGGCCTCCTCCTGCCAAAATCCAACTTTTTAAAGATCAGGCATTATATTTTGAAATATAATCACCACTGGACATTGCCCACCATTACCTGGTCTTTTCACCTGGCTCCTTCTCATTTCCTTCCCCCCCTTCCCTCCACCTGCCAAACTTTGCATCCCTGTAGTTTCCTCTGTACCCATCCCATCCCTCTGCTCCTACCCTTCCCCTCTTTGGTCCCCATACATGTTTAGCCTTCTTTTTTTTACAATAATGGACTTACACAGTATTTGACCCTCTGATACTGAGTTAGTTCACTCAGCATAATGCTGTCCAGTCTCTCCCAAGTTATTCAGTATTTTTTTAAATTGTTGCTTCTGAGGGCTGCATAGTTATATACAGTATTCCATTGTGTGAATGTACCACAGCTTCACAGTCCATCCCGTTCTATTTGGACCTTTGGGCTGTTTCCATGTTCTTAGATGGTAAACAATGATGCTATGAACATTGGTGACAAATCTCTGCTTGTTTCTTAGTTCTAATTTCCTTAGGGTATATTTCTAGTGCTGGAGTAGCTGAGTCATACAGAGTTTCGATGTTCAACTTTTTGAAGAAACAACACAGTGGTTGTACCATTTAGCTGTACCTTTTAAAAACTTGACAATGAAAATTGCGTGTTTATTAAGTTTTGTAGAAATAGAATTTATTTTAAATTTTAGTTCAGGTAAACATTTTAATTGCTTTACTACATTTTCTTTTTTTAACAGATGTTGCTTTTCTGCATGAAAAAAATTTAGATGGGGTTAAAAAGCATTTTTTACATATCAAAACTTTTCATCTTATGTATATAAAGAGGGAAAAAAATAATCATGTAGCAGTGCTCTCCCTCTGTTAGTGTGTGGATTCATACAATTGTGATACGTAGGTTAATGTAATCTGACTTCCTTAGCAGTCAAATCATATTTTGTGTTTGTTTCTGAAGACTTGGAGTACTATATCATTATGAAGCACAGTAATGTTTTTCAGTATGTTAATTCATTCTCTAAAAGTATTTCCAGTCATTATAGATACTAACACACATTAGCTTGCTATAATACAGTTATTATAAAAATAAATACAGCTGTAAATGAGAACATGTAAGGATCCTTTTTCTGTGACTTTCTGATACATTTCCTGCAGATAAGCTCCAGAGTTGCTTGTAAGCAGATGTACTTTTAGAGTAGACCCATGACTGAAATTTCTGTGTAGAGATTGTTCAAAACTTGCAGGTTGTAGAAGAACTAAGTTTTAGTTAGAATATTAAACAAGATATTGTGAGTTTGTTGTGTGCTTTTAAAACAATGAGATATACAGTTTTACCACTTGGTGGTGCCCAGAATGTTCAAAAACTAATATTGGCTCTAGGGGCATTCATCTACTGAGTTCTGAAAGAATTATTTCTGTTTTATTAAAAAAATGAAAGTTAATGAAGAGAAATGTATATATATTAATACTAAAGCTGGGTTATCTTTGAAATTTTATTTAATCAGGCTTTTTTAATTATATTTTTTAATTACATATTTTATTGGTTTCATACAGTCATTCATATACATTGTGTTTCATGCACACACATTGTGTTTTATCCAATCTTTCATTTACATTATATTACATTGTTATGTATTGTGGGTTCCCCCCCTTGCTCTTATCTTACTTATAATTACATTCATGAAAACATGCAAGCCAGCTACTTTATTGCCTCTGCCTTAAATAATGTCTTCTTTTAGTCAATATCTGATTTGCCCAACTCTATCAAAGCAGTACTCTGAAAGAACAAGTGTATACTTTTTGCTGAAGGAACTTTTGTTCAAATTGGAACTTTTGAGCATCTGCATTCACAAGCAAAGGCCTGTGCAGAGCAAGCTATCAGGTTGCAGCAGTCAACACTAGCTCACAGCATGGATACATTTCTCTTGATCTGGTTGAGTTCTGGGCAACTCAACCCAGTCATCTACGGCTAGATTCAAATGGGCGTCAGCGGCAAACTGAGGAGTGCTATGTTTTAACTTAAAAATAAATACTCATTTACTGTACTTGTATTCCTCTTTAATATTTTAAGATAGCATTTGGTTGCTTTAGTAGTCAATTCTTCAGCTGTTGATTTCATGAAATATACTTTCAACTTGAAGAGTATGCATGGAGGGCAGTCTTACTGCCATTTTCAAAAGTTTATAATGCTTTTCTGGTTTGGGGGTTTTAAGATTTCTTTTCATAATGACCATAAATGCATAGTAGTCTAATACATAATTAACTTTGTCTTTGATTCTAATCATAATATCCTAACCTGTTTAATTTTTTTTGTTAGTATGAAGAATTATTAGAAAATCAATTTAGATACATGAAGATTGATTGTTTGAAGTCATCTCAACCAATGTCATCTCCAGCATCATCTGTTGAATCATTACAGCAAATTGGAAGAATGTTTGAACCTATTAACTATTTTAAGGTACTGGTATACCAAAATAAGAACCTGGAGTAGTTCTGAAATTAATGTCACATGTGGGAAGGCCAAGTGATTTATTACTCTAAAGATTAAACCATATTTTCAGTTAGCTCTAAATAAATGGGGCTTAAGATACTTCTATTTAAACCTTGACTTTAACTCTTTGTGAATTTTTGTTCCTTTCTCTGTGTCCCTTTTCAATTCTATGACCAACATTCTATACACATTTAACCAGCTCTAACAATAACTCAGGTTTCTGTTGTTGTTCAAAAGTAAGACATTCCTCTGAAACCTTTTGTCAGCTGAAAAGGTGGAAAGAAAAAAAAAAGTTACCATTAACTCAGATGCAAAAAAACCGAGAATTTCCAGACCCAAAAAATCACCTATTAAATCACACTAAAGAGAACATAAAACCCAAAGTAACACTCATATGTAGTGTACAGAAGTACAGTTTAAAGCTGTGGCAGCTTGAGGCTGAGATGCTGAGTGTCGCTCCCAGGGAAAGAGCTTAGTGATCTATCAGACTGCCAAATAAAACACTGAACTCGGGCTTTGCTTTTCACATTTTTCCATCCCATAAAAAGTGAAAATCCTCTTCAGATTCCTTTGGGTTTTCAAAAAACATGTACATTTAACATAACTGCAGTAAAGCAGACTGTCTAAAAGCAAGAGAATACCTATATCTTTTAAGCTTGGTTTACTCTCAAGAAGCTATGTTACTCAGAATTGAAGTATGTTCCAAAATCCAAGTTGTCAAAATTAGTAATAGAGATTTTAAAAATTTAAAGATCAGATTGCAGGATAAGATATAGATTGCAGGTTTTGAGTGAAGCAGGAACAGAAACGCAGCCAGAGTCACCAGAGATCAATGACATTTATTGTTTGTAGGGTGGGAGGACATATAGATATCTTTTAGCTTATTTGCCTTCTTATACCATGAACTGCTAGGAGAACTAATGGTTTTATCCTAGAGAGGGTGAAACCAGGCTGCTCCTTGGAGGCAAGGATTCTGAAGCTTCATCTGACATACTACTTTGGGAATGTTGCAAGGAATGGCTGGTCCTTGGAGAGAGACATCATGCTTGGGAGGGTGGAGGACCAGCGTAAGAAAAGACTCTGGATAAGATGGGTTGACTCAGTGACTGGGGTAATGAGGGTAGCTAAGCCAAAGACAATAAGGTTGGCTAAGGATAGAGCAGGGTTCAGAGTTGTGCATATATGGTTACTATGAGTCGCAAGAGACTCGATGGCACAAAATAACAACTCTGGCTGTTAGTGAAATGATTAGTGAAGTGAATCCCTGGACAGAAAAGAAAATACTTAATAAATATTTAAGTATTCATTGTGTCAAGAAGTTCATAGCTTAGGTGGTAGATACTTGCAAAGTCATCGCAAAGGCATGCGCTAAATAAGTAATGCAGAGTATTTTTGCCTGGGTTGATAAAGAGTTTTTCTTTTTCTTCATGAAAATGGCATTTGTGATGACTTGTAGCTATGGTGGAGCAGTGTACAGCATTTTGGACTGCTAACCAAAAGGCTGAGCTTTTCCACCAGTTCAAATCTACCAGTGACTCTAGGAGAGAAAGGTGGGCAGTCTCTTCTCATTAACATTTAACAACCTTTGAAACCTAAAGGAGGATTCCGAGGAGCTGGAATCAACTTGATGGGCATGAGTTTGAGTTTGTTCTTTTTTTTTATTATTTTAAGAGTAAGAAGGACACAGGTAAATGGGCAGAAACGTAGGATGGTAATGTCTTAAAAAAAAGGCAAGGAATATTTGGTTAAAGCTAGACCAAGCTAACTCGTTGCAACCCCTGTTGACATCATAGAACTTCCCATATGGTTTTCAAGGTTAAAATCTTTAGGGAAGGTGTCTGCTACTTCTTAATCCCTGGTGAGTGACTTTTGGGTTTGAATCAGTTAACGTTTGGCTAGCAGCCAAGCACTTGACCATCTCAGCTCATTACATCCAACTCCTTTGGGAGGTGACTCTTAGAACTTTGTGCTTAGTTTCCGCTGCCTTTTATACCCATCTTTTCTCTTTGCTGACTTTGCTTTGCATCTTTTCATCTTAATATGTCAAAATAGTGAATAGAGTTACAGGCTGAGTCCTGTGAGTCATCAGACTTGGATTTGGTTTAGAGACTTTTGTCTACCTGAGAAGAGAGTTGGGGTTGTTGAATTTGGGGTTTTGTTGTTGTTGTTGTTTGCATTTCCAAGTACCAATGAGGACCTAATGTATATGGAGTATAGTAAGCAGAGGGGGAAATAGTAGATGAAATTGAACCCTGGGAGGGTAGGGGATTTTTTTAATTTGTTAAAATGAAGACTGTTACATAGGGGGGTTTGTTAACAGGAAGTTGCAAAGATGGAAAATTGATGTTGGGTGGAGTAGAGGAGGCTGGTGAGAACAGAAAAGAAATATAAGACAAAGATGCTTAAGAAATGTAATTTAGAAAGAAATGCATGCTAGACAGTAAATTAATTGATGTGTTTTAATAATCTTGATGGCTTAACATTGGTATACTTTTATAAAAAAATCAATTTAAAAATTTGTTGAGTGTTTTCTCTTTTACTGGAGCAGAGCTTTACAACTTTACCCCTCAATTTCAATAGTCAAGGAGATAAAAGAAATAATTTTAACAGATGTGGGAAGTTACATAAAATGTTTTTCAAGACAGTAAAATATGGCATCTATTTTGAATTAGGGAAAGCTTTACAGAGTAGTTGGTAGTGGTTTCAAGATTGGGAATGAAGATATGTGCATGAGTAAATGTTTATAGGGTTAATAGTTAACAGTTAACATGTCTGATTCTGTAGTATTGTTGTAAGTTTGCTGCATTTATGCCATCATTAATTCCAAACATTTTAAGTGATTGTAAGAAGAAGAAAAGACTTGATTACTTTAGCAACATCATAGGCTAAAACTGGAACTTAATATACTACCTAGCAGAGAAACTTTTGAGAACTTTGCTAATTTATTTGCTTGTTGACATTGTGTCAGTAAATTCTGCTGATAACTTTAAGCATTGGAAATGGGTTTGAGGTGAATATGACACAGGAAATTTGGCAGATTTTCCATTAAAAATGAACTTATAAACACAACTTTCCAAAGGCACAGATAAGTAGTATATAAACACTGACTATAACAACAGACCACACAGATAGCTTATGGTAGAATCAATGTGCGTGGAATTTACTCCATTAATTCCTTTTCAAATCCCTTAAAAATAACTGTGACAGTCAGTTCACATCTGGTTATAAAAGACTAAATTACAGTGTACTATAACAGTGTTCTATGCATCAATAGAAAGGTTCAGCATTACTATTTTTAGATTTTTAGTTTCGAATTCTCAATTCTATAACCTAAAGTAATCTTACTATTCTCTCTTTTCTCCCTTTTTTAAAAGGGAGCTTCCCTCTTGTTGATGCTGAAAACGTACGTTGGTGAAGATGTGTTCCAACACGCTCTTATTCGCTACCTGAAAAAACATAGTTTTTCATCCATTCAAAATGATGATCTGTGGGATAATTTTAATGAGGTAAGCAACTGGATATCTTGCTTAACTCTTAAGAGAGGAGTTCTATATTTGTCAAATATGTAAATATAAAGGGAGAATGAAGCTGAAGACATATTTACAAATAGAGTGCTAAGTTGAAAATCAAATAGAAGTCCTGTCTTAATTCTTGAAAAATTGTGTGTGTGGTCTTGTATAGCCGTTTTTCATTCTGTAGCTTAATCTCTATTCCTGTTTTTCTAGGAAAAATTGTCTTTTCTGCATGAATGTGAATTGCTATAATTTGGTGACTTTTCTTTTTATCTATTTTCCTACTCTTACCCTCTCTTCCCTGCCCCCCCCTCCTTTTTTAACCTGCCACTCATTATTTTTTCTATACCCTTCACTTTGAATCTGTTGTGTTTTATGGCCCTGTTTCTTTAAAGAGGATATATCACAAACTAGGTGGTTCATGGGCCTCATATTGCCCTGGTGTCATTTTACTGTTTGCATTTGTCATGTCTGCAAATAGTTTAAAAACCAGTTTAATTGAAGTTCTGCTTTATAGCAGTACATGAGCTTAGTCTACCTCACTCATATGTGTGTGCTAACTGAACAACCCTTAGAAACATTGAAGTTTGTTACCCTAATCCAAATTAGTTGTTCTTCATGTTTTAGGAGGAAGCTCAGTGGCTTAACGGGTAAGGTGACGTGCTGCCAACCCAAAGGCAGGTAGTTCAGATCCACCAGCTGCTCTGCAGGAGAGAGAAGGACAGTCTCCTCCTTCTGAAAACCTGCTAGATGGTCATTTATGAGTCGGTTCAGACTCAGTAGCAATAAGCACTTATTTTGGGAAATTACAGATTTATTTGAAACTTCCATTTTCCTCAGAAAATCCACGTATATGTAAAATACAAAACATGATTTCAAAACTGAAAGGGCTTTAGATTTTTTCCCCCACTGTATGTTTTTTATTTCCTTTGCCTTACCTGAAAACTGGTGTTTTCCTGCTGACCTTGTGCTCAGAGGACAATTCGTTGCCTATTATTTTTTAATTCTCTTGAAGAAGGACCAGTTTTTATTACCTGAAAGTTGCTTTCAAATCATACGTTTCTTAAAATTTAGTACATTTTTCTTAAAAGCTGTTAGTTATTTATTGATCTTGTCTTTTCTTCTGACATTTAAAATATTTTTCTGCCTTAATCATGGACTTCAACTTTTGCATCCTAGTAGTTTCCTGTCCTAGTCACTAACAATATCCTCAGATTTTTCATTTGGTTTTCAAATGAATTTGGGAAGATTGACTCAACCTTTTGATCCTTAAAAAAAATAGGCATATGGTGATTGAAGAATAGCTTGCTATGGTGGAGCAATATTACCAAACATTTTAGGTGTACTGTGATTTTAGTTGCAGGTAGTCAAATTCTTTTGAAACCTAGAATAATGGTGTTAATTATCCTTTTCCACCCTCATTTGCTTTAAAGAGAGACTTTACATATTTGCATCTTAATTAAGAATAATAGATGCCTTAGGTGCAGTGAGCTTTTTAAAAGGTCCATAAACTTCTCATACTTGATGCCTGGTTTTGTTTATTAGTTCTTGGATTTTCTAGGAAAGAAAATCTGTCCACAAAAAAAATTTAGTTAGCACTGTTAGAGAAGCCTAACATCAAGTAACTTTCTGCTACTGCTTGGTGTTCCCAAGCACTCCTATAGCATTAGTTAAATATGAACTTTAATATTTATGAGGGCAGAATGTCTGGGGAGCACAGAGAAACCTGGACCTACTTTGTTTATTGGGAATGAATAGCAATGCTTCTAATTTTTTAGTTGGTATATCTTTATTCTTTCTAATTGGTGTTTCTGTGGTGTAAAAAGCACATTTACCTTCTTAAGGATTTTAATTAATGCACAAAAGGGGCTCTGGTGGCCTAGTTTGTGGAGAGTTGTGTTTCACATGCAAAGATCATGCCACTGGCTGCTCAACTCTGTAAACAGCTCTGAGGGCAAAGATGGACAGTCTGCTCCCATGTGATTTACAGCCTTGAAGAGCCAAATGTGAAAAAACTGTGAGTTGGTTCCAATTTGATGGAAGTTTTTTGCTTTATTGAAAATTGATAGCATATGAGCTACTCTGCTCATTCTCTTTAGTTAGCCCTTAGTTCTGTTCTAGTTTATTTTCCTTTTTTTTTTTTAGTTGCTCATAACCTACATTAAAAATGTAGCCTCAGCTCAAAACATTCATGTCCCTTTATATTAATATTAAATGTAGTCTTCATAGAATCTGCCAGGGATTGAGGGAGGTTAGGGGTACATTGAACTGATACTTCTAAGCCAGTTTTTATCTTTAAGCAAAAAAGAATTTTTACTTTTTAATAGGTCACCGGCCCAACATTAGATGTAAAGAGAATTATGAAGACCTGGACCCTGCAGAATGGATTACCTTTAGTTACTGTTCAAAGAAAAGGAAGAAACGTTACTGTACACCAAGAGAAATTCATAATGAAGCCTGAGATTCAACCCTCAAATGAAAGGTACATGCCCTTTTCTTCCACATACTCTTTTGCCCTCCTAGTTCAAGTTCTTTTTATAATTTAAAATTTTTAATTTGCATACAAATTGTATATATTGTTTCACACATTCCTTCATTGACATTGTTTCATACACTGTATATTTTGTACATTTGTTTAAAGCATAGTGTATTCCCATATGCTCTGTTAATCCATGCCTTTGATTTATGCCCACTATCAACCCATCTTTTACATTAAAGTATTTTTAAATTTTTTCTAATGATAAGTTCTTATGAAATCTAACAAAATTATTCCTCTCTGGTAATAGCTTTAAAAATTTTACCCCACTTCTCAAAAAGGAAAAATGGAAGGATAAAATAAATAATTTATAATTAATTTAGAATTAGAGTAATAATCATACAATATTTTCTTTTTATAGCTACCTATGGGAAATTCCACTCTCCTATATCACCGATAGAACAAATAATTCACAATATCCATCAGTATTCTTACTGACCAAGGAATCAGGTAATTTCTATGATACTGCTCAACTATGAAATTAGAAATAGTATCTTAAACTGAACAATGCATAAGATGGTAACACTTTTTCAGAGTACAAGACTAACATTTCTTGTGAAATAAAGTATAAAAAGCTATGGAGAATGTCTTGGTGCAATAGAAAATAGCAAATGCTTTATTCTTATATGCTAGATACACATTTTGTTATAGATTAAGAGGTAGAGAAACTTTTTTAAAGTATGTTCTTCTGACTCCTTGTAAAGAGAGGTTTGAAAGAACTGCATTTTTACAAGTACCTGAGAGAATTCTTATGCATAATAAAAGTTTATGAGCTAGATATATATGAAATTACTACTATGGCATGTACTACAGTGTATTTTTTGGTAATGAGAAAAAGATAAATTATGATAGCAAGGAGATAGGGATATAAAATGTAAAGATGATGTGTACTAACCTATACAAAGTCTACACATAGCAATTGAAATGCAATTTATTGTTAAGTATTTCTGTGAATACTTCACCATGAATCTTATTTCCATCCTGATAGAACTGAAGGCCCTTGATTCTAAAGGAACCATTAGTGATGCTTCAGAGGTTTGTGGAAAGGATGGTTTCTTGTTTAAATTTGGAACTAACATTCAAGCCTGTATTCTGTATAGGAGAGTGTAGTTTTAGTGATTAAGGTAACAAACTTTGGAACTAGACTATCTGGTTCAGTTCTTGGATCTGCCATTTTTAGTTGTATGATTTTAGGTGAGTTGTGTAATCTTCCTGAGCATACTTCTTTCAGTTATAGAATGGAGATAGTGATTACATTATTTTCTGTGAAATTTCTAAAACAGTGCCTCATATGTAAGTATTATATGCTGTACACAGCAAGCTATCATTAATATTTGTCTTGCCTAGTGCTGCTTTAACAGAGATACTACAAGTAGAGGACTTCAACAAATTGATTTTTATCATTTAGGAGGTTATTCAGGGTGTTAGCTCAAGGGGAAGATGCTTTCTCTCTATCAGTTCTGGAGGAATGTTCTTGTATTCTTCAGCATGCGTAGATCTTGTGTCTCTTGGAGATCTCCAAGTGCCTCAGCCATCCCCACTGTCTAGGAGTCTCCTGGTGAAGGCATAAGAGGCCAGAAGGATGCACTACCTCCTGACAGTTGTTTCTTGGTGATACTGAAGTTCCCTGTCTCAGCTCCTCTTCCTCTCTTACCTCACAGGCTATGAAATGTGACTGAATTAAGGAATACTTCATGACCCACTCAAAATTTTTTTACCATTATTTTGTTTATGAAGTGATGCAGCATCAGTTCCAAGTTTCCACATCATGTCAATACATACGTGTATTTTGGAGGACGCAATTCAATCCAGGCCATTGTTATGGAAAAAATTAAACTTTAAACGGAGTATATCCACTTTACATAAAATTTAGAAAATGGAAAACAGATACTATCACTTTTTCATAATTGTTGCTATTGTTAAGTGCCTTAGAGTCATAGGTGACTCATAATGACCCTATGAACAAAAGACCTGGACATTTTTATAACGTTCATCCTTTCTTCAGGTTCTTAGGGTCTCTAGAGGCAAGCTATTTCAGAAGTGGATGCCACTCCTGCTTCCAAACTTGTTTTAATTGGGGAGCTCCACCAAACACTGTCCACCATGGGTATCCATTCTTGCAGCTGACTCATCAGTGTCACAGTGTTCAGCTTCACAGCAATCATGAGTTACCTCTCTACAGCAAGTGAACACACCAGGGTTACACGATCTAGAAGAATGTTTGACCAAAAACAATTAAAAACAGGCCTGAGGACCGCCGATTAGAGTCACCCACCTTTTTCTTGGTAGCATCACTTTCTGTCTGCTAGGCCAACTGATCTCTTTCTGTGCTGTTGTTGTTGTTAAGTACCGACCCTATGAACGAAAGACGTGAACATTTGTATAACTTTCATCCTTTCTCCAGGTTCATAGGGTGTTTTTTTTTCATAATTACTCTTGTAATTATTTTTCATATAAAATGAATATAAGTGGATGTTCAAAGAAGTGCAGCTTTTGATGAAAACAAAATCCCAAACTTTTAAAGTGTGCTGTAGAAGAGAGGTAGTTTTCTGACCTAAGAAAAACCAAATAATCCATTTTTCATATATCCTGTAGCACAGCCAAAACATGACCAAAGCACTCCAGAGCATTTGGAAGGGAAATTGTGAAAACCTCCTGAAAGTGAATTAATTTTTTATCCTATTAGAAATAACTGAGCATTAAAAGATCGCCTTTTATTATCTGATTTTAAGCTTTTTTAAAAATTCACTCTCTACAGACAATCCCATATTATTCTCCTGTTGCCTTTTCTATCTAAGCCCTCACTTATCACTCTGTTTATACTGTACAGAAAAGTCCTTCAATAATCTGACTGTTCCTCTGCCTCTTGTCTGTGGCCCTTTGTACACTCCCGCCTCCCCCTGATTTGCTCCTCTGCTTCCGATCTCAGTTCACTCATTGTTTTGGGCTTTCCTTTACCATAGGCTGGTTAAATGTCCTTCTTAATAGAAGCCTTACTTCCCCCGTCTTTCTATGCTACACTCTTTCACTTATCTGTCCCCTGTTAGATTCATCCCCCTTGAGTGGAGGGACCATACCAATGTGAATCATTTGGTAAAGTTAGCATTCAGTTAGGGAGCCCTGGTGGCTTAGTGGTAAGGGATCACACTGCCAATCCAAAGGTGGTGTTGATTGAGTCAACATGGCTCAAAGCGACCCTATGAACAAAAGAGCTGAAGCCTGTTCTATAACTACCATCCTTCCAAAGGTTACGTGGTTTGAATCCACCAGGTGCTTCGTGGGAGAAAGATGAGCAATAATCATATATGTATGTGTCAGGTTCAGGTCAGGATTAAACCAATTGTATTATATAATACATTGTGTATATTCTCTTTTACTAAGAGTATTTTCAAATGACAAAACCAAACAACATATTTTCATAAAGCTTTGAGTTCTTTCCCTAAAGCTTTCTACAGTGAGAATGTTGTTGTTGTTGTTGTTATGTGCCTTCGAGTCTTTTGCGACTCATAGCGACCCTATATACAACAGCCCTAAACCCTGCTCTGTCCTGTGCCAGTCGCATTGCCTCTGACACACCCATCCCGATTATCCCAGTCACTGAATCAATCCTCCTCATAGAGGGTCTTCCCCTCCTGCACTGTCTCTCCACCCTACCAAGCATGATGTCCCTCTCCAAGGACCTGTCTCTTCTTACAGCATGTCCAAAGTATGACAGTGAGAATAGAAATAATTTTTGTATAGAATTGTTGTTTTTAGGTGCCATCAAGTTGAGTTCAGATCTCTTGTTCATAGGGTTGCTGTGGGTTGTACTGAACTTTAAAAAAAAATCTAATTTGAAACATTTGTGATTTAGAATGCACATCACTTTAGAATGCACATCACTGTGCCAGAATTATTTCTCTGAAACTAAGGGACATGTCATAGAAATAAAGACAAGGAGAAAAATAATTAGGAAGAGCATGCAAATAAAATACTTATAATATGCCTGCAACTATTTTTGCCTTTTTTCCCCCTAATAAAATAAAAGGCAATCTAGTGTCCTTGTGGGTAGGGACTTAGCTACTGCTAAGCCAAAGTTATACCTGTCTGATGGCTCGGGTCTGCCAGCAGCTTTAGGGGAGAAAGGTGGACAGTCTCCTTCCTGCAGTCTACAGTCACTGAAAACCTGCTGGAGGGTCAGCTATTAGTATTGGAAAAAGCACTGCTTTTAAAAAAGAGAAGTGTAATGCAACTGCTTACGTAGTGCTAACACTTTGGAACAAACTAGGCATGGCATTTTGTAACTTAGTACTCAAAATTTTTTTTTCTTTGCTTTAACTTTTTTAAACAGCATTTGATTTTTGTTACTTGGCAAATGGGTTTTTATTAAAAAAATGTCTATTACATTACTTCATACGGACTTTTACGTAAGACTGGAATTGCTCATTCTTTTTTACTACTCAGTGGACTGTGAACATGAACTGTTAATCTGTTAATAAGTCTATTAAATTTAAAACATATGAGGGCAACTTCATCTACATTGGAGCTCCCTTAAGTACAAAGCTCTTCATTTTTTTATAATTGTGGTTTAAGGTCCTCTGTTCTAGCTCAGTCAGAAGGCCTGAAATAAACTAATACGTTGATTTTTTTTTTTCTTAAATAATGATTCCCTTCTTATGTGGTTGGCTGCACTGCTTCCTGTTCTCTCATCTCAGAGCCAGCCATAATTTCAAGTGCATCCCCAGTTGTACTCTTCCCCTCTACCATCTGCACTTATCTAGGTTTCTGATATGGCAAATTGCTTCTCAATAAATGTTGTTTTAAATATTTTCCTGCATGTGTCCAGTGGAACAGTTGCTATACTTATCATGCCTTGTCTTTTTATTGGGGGGTTGAGATGAAGGAGGTTTACAGCTCTTCCCTGTCACCCCTCCCAAGTCTTTAAAAAATTATACTAATTTATTTACAAACTTTGGATACATTGTTTTTTTACACTAGATTCTTCCAATTTCTCTCACTTCCCGGCCCATCAAATTGTACAACGCCACAGTTAATCTCCCCTCCCTATGGACATCCTCATCCCTCTGCTTTCACTCTGTCTCCCTCCGCTTGGATCCTCATACTCATTCTACAATAATGGTTTTATACAATATCCTTGTGGGTCTGACTGAGTTCACTCAGCATGTCATTGCTCCTGTGTGCTGTGTAGTATTCCATTGTGTGAATGAATGTACCATAATTTCTCAATCAGTTCAATTGCTGTTGGGCATCTGGACTATTTCCATGTTCTTGAGATGATGAATAACACTGCTGTGATCACTGGTGTACAAGTCTCCATTTGTGCCTCAGTTCTCATTTTTTCAGGGTATGTTCGAAGCAATGGAATAGCTAAGTCATAAGGAATTTCTAATGTCAGCTTTTTGAGGAAACCCGAAACTGCCTTCCAGAATGGTTTTACCATTTTACAATCCCACCAATAATGTATAAAAGTTCTATTCTCAACACATCCTCTCCAACGTTTATTACTTGCTGTCCTGCTATACTTTGCCACTGCTACTGGAGTGAGATGGTATTTAATTGTGGTTTTTATTTGCTTCTCTGTTATTGCCAGTGATTGGAGCATTTCTTCATGTGTCTGTTGGCTTTTCAAACTTCTTCCTCTGTGAAAACTCTTTCCATGTCTTTTGCCCATTTTGTAATTGGCTTATCAATCTTTTCCTTGTGGAGGCCCAGGACTATTCTGTAAGCCTTTATTACGAGACTGTTGTCTGAGATGGTATTTTGAAATGTTTGTTCCCAGTAGTTGGGTTTTCTATTCACCCTGTTGGATAAAGTTTTTGCTGCACACATGGATTTAATCTTTAGAAGGTCCCATGCATCAATTTTATCCTCTTCAGATTGTGCATTTCTGGTTGTATTTGGCAGTCTTTTTATACCATAGACCAGGACTTTTAAGCTTGATCCCAGCTTGTCTCTTATGATCTTTATTGTTTGGGCTTTACTCCCAGGTCTCTGATCCATCTTCAGTTAATTTTTGTGTGTGATGTGAGATGGGGATCCTCTTGCAGCTTCTTGCAGGTGGAAGTCCAGTTTTGCCAGCACCATTGAAGAGGTCCAGATCTTTCCTTGATACCATATAAATACATCTCTTTATTGTTTTGATGTTTGGGGTTTAACTAATGATAGATATAGGAGTTCTGGTGACATAGTCTATAGGGAGCTATGCTCCTAACCCAAAAGTGGTACTGCAGTGTTTGAATCCATGAGCTCCTCTGACGGAGAACAATGGACAGTCTCTTCCTGTGTGATTTACTGCCTCGTAAATCCTGCTAGAAGATCAGCTATAGGTCAGTTCTGACTTAGTTGCAATGAGAAAGAAAATGAATGATGTTGTTATTGTTGTTACATGCTGTCAAGTCACCTGTGACCCATAGCAACCCTATGTACAACAGCTCTGAACCCTGCTCTATCCTGAGCCAACCTTATTGTCTCTAACACACCTACCCCCATTTGTCCAGTCACTGAATCAGTCCAGCTCATCGAAGGTCTTCCTCTTGCGGTGTCCCTCTACCCTCCCAAGCATAGTGTCCCTTTCCCAAGGACTGGTCCCTCCTTGCAACATTCCCAAAGTATGTCAGATGGAGCTTCAGAATCCTTTGCCTCTAAAGGAGCAGCCTGGTTTCACCCTTCCCAGGATGAACCTATTTGTTCTCCTAGCAGTCCATGGTAAATTCAGTACTCTTCTCCAGCACCACATTCTCCTACCCTCCCTAGTCTTTGTTGATCTTTCTAATGAATGATACATAACATTAATTTCATTAGTCAAAAGTTTGTTAAAAATTACTCCAACATGACTGGCAAGTCTACAGTTGCCATCACAAATATTCTTTAGAACTAATCCTGCCCTGGAAAAAGAAACCCTCTTTAATCTAATTGAGCCATCTCATCTGTTGCTATGTTGTATTTCTATATAACAACAGAAATTAATGTAGTATTTAATAATGACCAAGACTCGATAGCAGATTTACCCTATTAAAACATGGCATGTCTTAACTTCGTCATCATCTTCTGCAGTACTAGTAGAACTGGAGTAACTACGGTAGAAGATTATGTGATACGTTTGGGTTAACTATTTGAAGTTCATAAACTTCAAGGCTTTTGGGTACTTTTGCCTAATGAGACCTTAAGCTTGTCCTGGTGTTTATTTCACTATCTTCAAATGATGCAATTTTTCTAAATGGCCTTGTTTGTCCCTCCTTTGCTAAGAGACCAAGACATTTTCTGTAGCTCTCTCAGGCTTTCTTTGCTGCTCGCCCTACAAAGATACTTTACCTTTCTCCTTCTCTCTTCTAACCATCATAACCTTGAAAGCCAGTTCAGCTCATGGATCATGGGCACTCTCCTTGAATTCTGAACCATGAGGGTTCTACCCAACCCCCTTCTCCTGACCTAAACCCTTATATCCTTAAATCTCAACAAATGTCATTTCTTCTCTCCTAATAAGTCTCTCCTAATCTTCTTTGAGGGGCAAGACATTTCTTTTGTGCTTCAACAGAATGCCATACTTTATTTTTTCCTATCAGTATCACTTACATTATGTTTTACTTGCCTGTTTGCATCAGACTTTAAGATTCATGAAAGAAATGTATCTACCTTGTTTACCCTTTGATTTTAGCACCTAGGCTGGATCTGAATATGATTTGTTGTTCCATTTTTTAAAAAAAAATTAAATAAAATATTTATTTTATCCTGGTTTACTTACAAAGTTGGTATACATTGTTTTTCATGCCAGATATTTGCCATTTCCTTTACCCACCCCTCTCTTTGCCCATCAAATTATGCGACTGTATGATTAACCCCCACCACCACTGCACCCATCCTCATCCCTCTGTTACCCCCTCCCTTCCCTTGGATCCTCATATACGTTCTACAGTAATGGTCTTATATGGTATTTGTCCTTAAGGGACTGAGTTGAATAACTAATGATCTTTGTTGAAATGACAGTAAGTAAACCAGGAGGCAGATGTTTAGTTTCTGAGTAAAATTATTAAGTATAGAAACGACTCAACATTGAACTTGAACTTTTATCTCTGGGATCAAGAGTTCCATATTGTATCAATTGAGCATTGTTTATTTGTTATGATGTTTTGAAGAAGATGGTTTCACTATAATTTATTTACATCAATTCATTGTTGTAGAAGAAAAGACTGTTAAGTTGCCATATGTTGTTTTATGTATCTTTTGACAACAAAAAAATACAGCATATTAACTTTGAAACAAAGTGTTTATGTGCTATCTTTTCTTGCTATATAATCCTACCTTCCCTTTTCGTTTTTTGATCTGCATTAGATACCATCATTCTTCCAGAAGAAGTAGAGTGGATCAAATTCAATGTAGACATGAATGGCTATTATATGGTACACTATACTGATGACTGGGAAGCACTGATCAAGCAGTTAAACACCAATCCTTATGTTTTTAGTGACAAAGACCGAGCCAACCTCATCAACAACATCTTTGTGCTTGCAGGGTTGAGTATACTTGATTTGCTTTGTTATTGTTTCTTAAACATATTGTGGGTGGTAGGAAAAGGTTTGGGAGGACTAGCATATATTGCCTGTTGAGTACAGCTTATCTTTGAAAGTGAAGGAAGTATAATATATATTCTTTGTTGTCAGAGACTTTATAATCCATTTAGAAATGTCAATTTGAAATTAAGAAACAGATAAGAAGAGAACAGCAATATTTTTTTTTAAAATGATACCAAGGGTTTCTCTGGCCACATGTCGCATGTTGTGCTGTGGTTCACATATACCAAGGAATCCACCAGGGGTTCCTTAGGAGAAAGAGAGGCTGTCACCTCCCATTAAGATTTACAGCCTCAGAGACCCATTGGAGGGTTGATAAGAGATCAGCTCAGTTGCAGTAAAGCAGAAGTCTGCCACTGAGCAGAAGATGTATGTGTTTGAATGTTCTATTAAGCAGTCCATGACTTTCCCACTTTGGCTTATTTTTCATGACATGACCATTTTAAACCATCTTGGCCATCATATGTGATATCCATAAAATGATTATCAAAATATGCTAAAAGTCAATCACTGTAGCTCCTTCCTTATCAAGTCTGACAAATTCTCACACAACCAAAAAGGATTTTTACTGATGAAATTTTCTCTTCCACCTGATAAATGTAATTAAGAATAATAAAATTAATACTTTTCATCTTTCCTCACCTGAGATATTTTAATATGTTCTTGGAGTGAGTAACAGTTTATACAGGACTGGTGAAATAAAAGATGAGCTATTTATCATTCTGCAGAAATAAGTGTCTCATCTTTAAACTCATGAACGTAAAGATAATAAAGACTGTAACTTTACAAACTGCTACTCTGGACATAACATTGGGATCTTCAAAATTGATTGTGGCTAGAGTTTCTCTCAGCATGTGTGGAATTGCTTTGTCTGCATATTTATTTTTCCTCTCCTTTATTCTTTAGCATTGGCAAGGTCCCTCTTCAGCAGGCTTTTGAGTTGATTGCTTACCTTGGAAATGAGACCCACAACGCCCCCATCACTGAAGCCCTATACCAGACCCGCTTCATCTTTGACCTTCTTGAGAAGGTGGGACACTTGGATCTGGCCTCAAGATTGGAGGTATGCCTGCCTTTCTACTGACTTTGTTTCTTAATGTTACTGTGCATTATCTTCTATTCAACCACTAATGCGCTGAAAAAGCCAACAGTTAAATTCCATTGTCTCCACTTACCTGCTTGTGGAATCTATTTTGGATGAAAATGCGGTTATGTTCTCTGAAGAGTTGGTAAGGCGATGATGTGATCGGATTGAGATATTAGCATACAGATTACTGTTATTGCTGTCAACCAAGGTTACATGAAAAGAAAATATACTTGATATTGGCTGTTGTGCAAAGTAGATCTCCCCATTATTTTTCCATTCTCATTGCCATCAAGTCTGTTCCAATTCATGACAGCCCTCCATCAGGTTTATAAGGGTGTAAATTGTAATGGGAGGAGCCTGCCTATCTTTCTCCTGAACCAACCTACTGCCTCTGGGTTAGCAATGAAGCTCACTACCGACCAAGACATCAGAGCTCCCTCGTTCGCCCTTATTGTTTGCCTTTAAGTTGGAACTCCAGCGGGTTTTCAGTAAATAAATTGCACAAGAGGAGATTGCCTGCCCTTCTCCTGTGAAACAGCTTGTGAATCCAAACTGTATGCCTTTGAGATGCAGCACAGCTTCTTGCCACTAGAGCTCCTTGACTAGTCACTGTAAAACTAATTCTAAAATGACGGTTAAATGTATGCATTGAGAATAACGTGAATGTTTTAGTACTTTTTACTTGTACCACTGATGGAGATAGTGATGTGAGTGGACATAAGTTTCTCTGTCGAGCACTAAAGGAGTCTTGCTTTTGGAGCTGATGTTCCCTTTCTTATGACCATTTGCATGGTCTTAAGGCATGATTATATTAAGCACTGTCAGTATTCAGTTGTTTGAATTTTATTTTGGGGCATGGTATAAGTATAAACAATATGGATGTTTAATTGGCCCACTAGCATTTTGGTACAGTATTTAAACTTTGTTTTAAATTATAGAATATACTGAAAGTGACTCATACAATAGCAAAAATATATCCCACTTGAAGAAACTAAATTAATAAGCTTTGTTGATATAACTCACTTTTTCTTGCTATTTAATAATATTGTTAAGAATGAATATATCCTAAGAGAAGACAGAGGACCCACCTATTCTGAGGCTGCTACCTCTTAGATTTACATGTACTAGAAAGCTCTCTTTTCCCTCATTCTTCTCATACCTCTCCATTGGGCCTCATGCTGAGGAAGCACTTGATAATTCTCTCAACTTACCCTCGGATGAACATAGATGCTTAGGAGAAGTGAAAATGTTAAGTATTTTCCTACTATGATGTTCAAGTTCTTAGTTTATCTTCATTCTCGATGTTGAACAGTTCTCTGGGGTGGGGGGGGCATTGTTGTCGCTCGGTACCATCAAATATGACCTGTAGTGACCCTGTGAACAACAGATCTGAACCTTGTCCTGTCCTGTTCCGTCCTCACACTTCAATTGCAGCAATCACGGTGTCAGCCTACCAGGTTGCAAGTCTTTCCTCTCTTCCACCAACCCTCCACCTTTCCAAGCATGATGTCTTTCTCCAAGGAATGGCCACCCTAACAGCATGTCTGAAGTACGTGAGATGAAGCTTTATCATCTTTGCCTCCAAGGAGGGAGCGCACTGGTTGCACTGCTTTTGCTGCTATCAGTCTTCTCAAACTTGATTGTTGTTAGAAATCAGATCAGCTTTAGTTTATCAAAAGAAGGAAACCCTCTCTTTAAAATTCTTTTAATCTTAAAGATAGCTAGATAACTTCAAACCTCTCAAAATATGACATCTGAAGCAATGTGACCCTCACAGTCCCAAGCCCATTGTTTCATTCACTGTGTCAGTCTATCCATTGAGGGTTATTCTTCCTTTTGCTGACCTTCTACCTTTCCCCGGAATGATGTCTTTTTCCCTCTTGACAACATACCCAAAGTATGGGAGATGAACTTTTACATTTCTTGCCTCCACTATCATTCAGATATATGCAC